TTTTATTTTTATTAACAGTGCTAATGACAATTATGACAAAGAGAAAGAAGAATATTATGGGCTTACCGTAAGTTCTAATGGTGATGTAGGATGGTTCTACCCCACAATATTCAAGAGTTCATGTACCATTGACGTCACCTATTTTCCGTTTGATGATCAGGTAGGGGAAAATGTTTAAAATATCATTTCATTCAAAAAGTAAGGTCGGGCTACCTCAAACTTTATCGGGCTTATTCCAACTCGTTCAATTCCTCAAATGCTGGCACATTTTTCTGAAGTTGAATTCTAAAAGACTGGATAAAAAGAAAAAGAAAGTCGTTGCCATATGTTCACGTCTAGACTACGAGTTGTCCCCCATTTTTCCGCAGGGATAGTAGAGCGAGCGAAACGGGAGCGCGCGTGCAATTCACCCCACGCGAGAAAGGCGAGACGCAGTGGACCTTTTCTCGCGTGGGGTGATTTTCAAGCGCGCTCGCCTTTCGCTCGCTCTACTATCCCTGACGACAAATGGGGGGAAACTCGTGGTCTAGTTCACGTCCTCAACAAAACGTGAAATTAGGTACTTTCACGTTGTAGTCGTGCCGCGATTACAAAGAAACAAAAAAGCGTAATGCACGGGCAAAGTTGTTGTTTTGCCGATCCAAACCTGTTATTCTTTTGCCGTTCTCGTTGGCGTCGCCGTCTTTGTTGCCTAAGCTCCCCATTGTTTTTCCCCTGCAGGGAGTTGATTGGGAATTCCTCACCACCAAACATGACAGAAGGTCCTTTAGGCTATCTCCAAGACACTATAAAGGGACATGGTAGTCAAGTCCATGAGTAACATTAAAGAAAAAGAGTCACTTCATTTTTTTTGGTTTTGTGCAAAGTGCAGCAAAATCCATTAATTAACTTGCTTCTCTTTTCAGAAATGCATTCTGAAGTTTGGGTCATGGTCCTATCATGGCTTGAGTCTGGATATATTTCACAAAGGTCCTGGAGATACTGCATCATTCACTGATAATGGCGAATGGATACTGGTTGGGATGCCTGTTACAAAATTCATTACCAAATACCGCTGCTGTCCTGAGCCCTATCCATTTATAACTTACAATATCGTCATTCGTCGTCGTACCATGTATTATATCTTAAACTTTTTGACTCCGTGCGTACTCATGTCAGCATTAACAATCCTTGGTTTCTTTCTCCCGGTTGAGTCTGGCGAAAGAATGAATGTGGGTGTAACTGTATTACTATCGTTAACTGTTATACTTTTGTTACTAGCCGAAGAACTTCCAGCCACTTCCGAAGTTGTTCCGTTGATCTCCCGATATTATACCTTGACGATGGTGAATGTTTTTGTGTCCATTGTTTTTACTTGCGTCGTTCTCACGTTTCATCACCACTCTCCAACACCGCTACCGGCCTGGGTACGACTGTTCATCTGCCAGTGGTGTGCAAACGTCTTACGTGTAAAGAGAAACGGCAAGAAAACCAACGAGTCTTGCACTTCGGCAAAGAAATTTCTAAAAAATCGTAACATGAGAAGACATTCACTGGGCGAGCGTCTTTATAATGGCGATAGCACAGAGCCAGTTACTACTAACCCATTTGTCAGTGACAAAAATCATGCTAACGGTACACATCAGCTTGAAACGGATTCAAACACACCCATTCAATTACAAACCTTAGGTGATCAAAACCTTCGAAAGCGACTTAGTCAAGCCTCCAAACAGTCAGAGGCTCTGGATATTCTTGTGCAAAGGACTAAGAAAGATGAAGAGAAGGAGCACTTTCAGCAAGAATGGCGTTTTGCTGCTCGGGTGCTGAATCGATTGTTCATGTGGATTGTTCTGATCTTAGTTGTGTTTAACTGTCTGGTAGTGTTATTCTCGGCTCCAAGAGAAAACCTCGACTGAATTCACTTCGTGTGTACGTATATGGACCCACCCTCGTCGGTCATGAGACTGGTGGTGTCGGTCAGACAAAGCTGTCTTTCGTTCTGTTGTTATTAATGTCGTTTAAAAGTTAGACTGCAAAACAGTCGGTTTTTTTCTCAAAATCAGTAAAGAAATCGGTTAAGCGTGGCGTAAGAGTCTTAAGCGCGAAGCGCGCTAGCGAGAGAAAAAAAACCGACTCTCCCCAGTGTCGCTCTCTGTTTTCAGCTTTGTTCCAGACTTTTCGTTTGACTGCTCGCGCTTACTTGAATACGCAAAAATACGAATGTTTTGCAGTCTATTTAAAAGTACGTTACGTTTAACAACTTCAAGTTTTGAATCAAATGCGGATCTCCTACAGGAGTGGAAAGGTAGAAGATCCTCTTCTAAAAGATAGAGCTCGACTAACCGATTTATGTTCAAAATTTCGATCTGTGCATAAAATGACTAAAATTCGTTGTTTCGTAATATAATTATATCGTCGGTTCTTTTGTTTACTACAAAAGTGCCTGTGAGGTGGCATCCCTTGTGTGTAACTAATTGCTTGTGCATATGAACTGTAAACATGAAGTATGGGGCTATAAGAGTGTGACACTGCAAAAGTACTGAGAGTCCAAAATAAACACGAAGCGTTTTCAATTGATGTAAGATGTAAAATGTTAATAAAACATATAAGTGAAAAGGTAACAAAACTGATAATGATTAGAAGACCTACGGACTTCTAACTGGAAAACCTTCAAATCGACCGTGCAAAGTTACATACACATTACTCATTATATGATTATATACTGACAAGAGACTAGTCTCTTGATACTGACGAATTAACAATGTAAATCAAGAGGAACATAAATGGCCGTTGTAATATTATCTCTACTGAGATTCATGATTGGTATAATATAAATGGTAGAGATCAAATAAGAGGGTCTTTGTTTGCGTTCAAGCATTCTTATTCTGGTGCTTCCATCAAATTAACGTGCTTCAATGCTGAATTCAAAGGCAACAGATGTTGCAAAGTTTAGCATATTCACAGCAGCAGATTTCCAGGTCTTACCATGTCAAGTTTATAGAGTGAAGGCAGTGAACGCCCCAGTACGGCCAGTATTTTTGTCATTTCTGATCCCAGTTTTAGACCTGTTGCCTAAACGTTTATTAAAGCTTTTACTCCTATAGGTGCTTTGCAAAGAGTTACACGTTTTTGCAAATACCAAAGGAACCAATAACGTGACTAAAGAGATTTCATATGAATGTTACATCACAAGATTTCCTCCGCAGACTCAATAGTTCAAACTCCGTACGGTGAAAGTAGTACTGCTGCTAAAAAGATTTAAATCAATTGGAATCGTCGCACCATAGGAATCCATCCACAAACTAACAGTCAAAAGTTAGAGCTAATCACCTTAGCTGTTCTCCTTTTATCCATTGAACCTGGGGTAAAGGAGTTAAAAAGGAAAGGCGTTATAAACAGCAACTGTTAATTGTAATTATACTCACTGATTCATCCAGTCGTGCGTCGAAAAAGCAGACTTGATTACAAACCCTTTGATCAAAAACTGATGTAAAATAGTGTAAGACGTATAGGAAAAGTTATACCGAATATATCATAAATAAAATGAATTATTATTATTATGAAAGGTAAATAAAGATAAATATTAAAGAAAGCGATTTGCTTTAATTGAATGTTGATGAAGTGAACTTTATGGTCAATCGGAAACACAAACTAACTCTCCTGCTTTGTGCTTTATAAATGATCATCCTTCAAGAATTTTCCTGTTTATTTCAATTAATTTCAGCCTAAATTTGACACTTTTTAGGCGTAATGGCGGAAAAAATGAATCACGGCGTCAATACCATTCTTGAGAGCGCTTTATACTTACACAAAGAAAAATGGTTGTTTCGTACGTTCACTCTCGCCACCGCCCCCCTCGAACCGCTGAGTATTTTCTAGTACCCATGCTCCGGCTTGCGATAAAAATGGTACACTGTTCATTTTGACAAGGGAAATTCAATATGCTATAAAATAACTAACGGGCACATCTGGTGATTATATAAGAAACATTAACTGCAGGTAAGCTATTGAAATTGGGGTGTGGATATCGTTCTTTATCCTACGTTACATGTTATTAAGCCACTGTCGTGATGTCACGTGACGCTAGAAACAGATATATTTTTACGTATAAGAATTAAGTGATACTTGAGCATTTAGTGTAAATTGGCCAGCTTCCCCCTCTTCAAACTTTCAGCCACAATTCACCCTATAAAACAAATCCCTTTGGAATAGTACGAACGATAAAATATATTGCTTCCATATATACTTCGTATGGCTGATACCATTCACGCCGTTTTCTTATTGAAATGTTTGAAACAAGTGATTCTAATAAAGCTTGAAAAATTCACGTTGCCCGACTGCCAAGTTTTCCATTTATTTTCTCCTCATATTTATTTCACACTGCGGGGTATCTTGTTTTGATTCTTGCAACAGCAGGTTTAAATAAAATTTACCACTTCCACCCTAACACAACAAAAAACGGTAAAAAAAAAAATGAAAACGTCGTTCAAGTGAACATTTTTTTTGTTGTTTGAACACATAGAGTGAATGAAAAACGATGATTTAACATTACTATTAGAGTTCTGACTAATCTAAATTTTTCGGCATTTTCAGAATCGTTTTCTTGTTGTGCGTTAATTAGGTTTCTCAGCATGCTGTACAAAATTTCAACCCAGTTTCATCTTCTGCAAAGTAAGTACCTAACTAAATTCATTCACAGTTTACCAAAACTGCCAAACGCATCTTTGATGAAACTTGAACAGAGCTGATTTAGTGACTGTAGCGTTTGATTCGTCTTCCGTATATATAGAAGGGAAAATTAGGCAGATTACCTAATCAATAAAATAATTATGACTTCTCGCTTGGCGGCTCACAAAAAAAATTTAAAAAAGCCGGCAAAGAAGTTCTCTTGTGAAAATGAATCACTGCGACCAAATAACGAGAGACTGCGAAGTTATTGAAAATTTATCACTCAGCTGTGTGTTTTTTTTTTATGAAATTCCGGGCCTGTGATAATTAGACAAGCCAAAACTCTCTAGCCACCTGTAAGCGTGTCAGCCAATGATATCAGTGCAGAGTATTCGCGCATACACTCCTCATGCAGCGCTATTTAGATTATCAGTAAAAGACATCCCGATATTTCTGTTAAACTAACCCTGTCGTTTACCCGCAATCGTTCGGACCAGGTTGCGAAGGCTTAGTATGTTATTTATGTTAAATGTCGGATTCTATTGAAAGAAATGGCAAGTTACATGCCTGCACTTCTCTGCGATATAATGAGAATTTTGTTACTCTTGCTGATTCTTTTCTTAAATTCAAGTGAAGGTAAGGATTTTTCAGTTGGTTTTGTGTTCTGAGTTTAGTGTCATGTCAAACATTTATGAATCTGCTTCTGAAATTAGAATTGACCCTAAAAGTAATGTCGCACTGGGATTAAACTGTTGGCTTAAAGCACCTTCCAGGCAAATTCGCAGTTTACGTGTTCGATTAGTGTTTTAAAAATATATTCAGATTGAATTGCACCGTTTTAAATATCAATACAAGCTTATTATCAAATATCTGTCTGTGCGACAAAAAATTCTTCACTTCTACCGCGAGTCAAAATAAAATTAGCTAATATAAGTATTCATCAGAGACTATCTAAGCCTTTAAAATAAAATTGTTTTTCGCCATAAAACCCAAACATAGTAAAAACCTACGGTCACTAGATGAATCACCTATTAGACCTTTGACGGAGACCGGTTAGGATTATCAAATGACGGCAAAAATATGGTTCGTCTCAGTATAGGTGCAATGATTAATTTAAGCCGTCTTCAATATTCTTCCCGTAACTATACTGACATTTAGATGTCGGAAATTTAATCGTGAGTCTGAACTGAGATAAGCATGAGAAAACTATCAATTTTTTGCCCATTTTTTATTTAGTATTTATTAGACAGGGGTTACACGCGTTTTTATCATCCGACTTGTAAGTCTCCCTCTATTTGCATGTGAATTTAGCTTTTTTCTCCCTTTTACTCCCAATTATTAAAAGCTGAGTGCGTTCTTAGATTAACTTATGCGTCCACGCCAAACATTTAGGGACATCTTAAAGTTCTCGATCGCGAATCAACCTGGTAGAGTACCCTAAGGCTAAGCCCTCTCTTGCACAATTAAGCTCGTAATCTGAATGGCTATTAAAACATAGACTGCACCAAGGAAATAAGAAATGATCTACTCTCTTAGTAATTTTCACAAACTCTCCCTTAATCCGACCGCCATCGCTAAGGAACAAACAATTCAGAGTTACACATGTGACAAGATTATCACGTGACAAATCATGTGACCACAATTAGCTAAACCAATTTTGATTCCAAAAACGTGTCATTTTGAATCTTCTACTTAACTATCCAACTGGCCTCAATTGTAAAAAAGGTGTCATGATAACGCTTCCTACTGGACAAATATCTATTCATTGAAAAGCGTAATTGGTTTTCCCAAAGGATAGTGATTTATCAGTTAAATTGCGCTATGTAGCGTTTGAACATCCGATCCTTGGCCTGGATCCATGGATTGGATTGTGTAACCATACAGGTTTATTTGTTTGTTTTTTGCTTGTTTTTTGTCCACTGACAGAGTTTAACATTTGATTTCAGGCGTCCCGAGCTCTCATATCGTTCAAGAGCTCGAGTACGATTTATTTCACTCCTACGACAAAAGTGTGCTTCCCAAAACAACTTTAGAGAAGGGTGTTGTAGTCACATTGGATTTGGCGTTGAACCAGATCATAGATGTGGTAAGTAGTTTAAAAGCTATCATTGATATCAACTGATTGAGGTCATATGAGGGCTTGCCATTCCGTACTTGTAGAGCCTCATTAGTAAGTGATGTTTACCAATACGGTCCACAATTTAGAGTTGGTGAAGGATTCAATCAATCCAAATTATCCCGGGAGCCAAAGGGCATCCGATCGAAACTCCTGTACTTGGGCCACTGAGCATTGTCTCTAACCAAACTAACGTTATTTATAGAGCCGTTGACACCATGACAGTTCTACAAACCAGGTCTCCAACAAACTTGAGACACTTTCCAGATCGAATTGGAATTGGAATTGTTGCTTTTACCCCCCGTGTAAAGGAATCCAGATTGCGGAATCTGGGAAATTTTTACTTGTGGAATCCGGAATACCCACAAGGAGTCCAGAATCCCTATAACAACGATTGGAATACAGAATCCAAGTTCCACCAACAAATATTGGAATCCAGTACCTTGGAATCCGGAATCCACGGCGTGGAATCCAGAATCCAAGACTGTCCTGGATTTCCTTATATGGGGCAATGCTTTTGGTTTAGAGGAGAAAACAGGAATACCAGTAAGAAATACCTCTCGGCCGAGCAATGAACAGAACCCTCAACACACTCAACTCCGAGTAACTATATAGCGTACGCTGAGACTCGAACCCAGGCCACATTGGTGGGAGGAGTCAAGAGCTAATCGTCATCACTGACTGCGTCATCTCAGCTGGTTCCTAAAACTGAATTCATTAAACTAAGCTGCAACTTTTTTTTCAACCATTGCAGAACAAGCGAGCTCAAACAATGACTGCTGTAATTTGGGTGCGGCAGGTAATAAAGAAATACGCCAAATTTGGTTTATCAACTGAGTTTTCTGAGTCACCGTCAGAGCAAAGGCCTAGCAATCAAACGTCACTTTCTCAGTTTATTTCAGTGGGAAATATATTGACTTTTATGAAATCAGTTGATAAATCCAAATTATGTGTTTCAATCACCTATACTACCGACGTAGTACCATAGTACATGCTCTTTCCTAGTTTAACAGATCTTTAAATAAAATAGTTGTTTCCCTTTTAACTCCTCACAGAGATTAAAGGAAAAACTTCAGATGCATAAAATCAGATTTCTTCATGTAAAATACAAAGAGTTAAATAGTACTTAATGCAACCGTTTAGTTGAAATGGGTTGATCTCAATAGTAACACCATAGCTTGGACTTTGGCTTTGGTTCTACTAGGCTTTCAGATTCGACGGGAGCAGACTCCACCCCTATATTTGTTGATTAAGGGGGAAATTTCACCTAGACTACGAGGAAAGCTTTCCAATAATTAGTAAAGGAGAAAGCAAGGGTGAACGTAAACAAATATCAGCCTCTTTGTCCACTGATTAAACTTAAACAGGACATCTCCAGGTTCAAATCTTTGTTGATGCAACATAACAGTCCGCTTATTGACTGTAAATGTTTTATCCATGAATCTATAGTATTGGAGTGACCACAGACTTAAGTGGAATGCTTCTGATTATGATGACGTGACATCTATTGTGACTCAAGCCAGTCATTTATGGCTTCCGGACATAACTCTTTACAACAAGTATGTATAGAACACGTGCTTCTTAAGGTGATTATAAATAACTAAAATGGGTCAGTTCAATGAGCTTTTTCAACTTGTTATCAGTACCTATGTTGCTAACAAGAGAATTCCAGGCAAATTTTGTTGTGAAGGCTGATGTTTTTCTCGTGTTTCATGGCTTGAAAAAAATGATCTTGTCAAGGTTTGTTAAACCATAGTCCTGTTTTTATTGTTGCCGTTGTTGTTTCTGTTGTTTAATTCTTGTTTTCTTCGATACTCGACGGTTGGAAACCAAATCTCTCCGTTTTACTAGTGACGATGGAGTTGAGAATATTGCAAATATTGATCCCTTTTTCGATGCTATGAGTAGATTTGCAAAAAGCATTGTGAATCCAAAGCTACTGTGGGGAACACCCTGCTATGAGTAGATTTGCAAAAAGCATTGCGAATCCAAAGCTACTGTGGGGAACACCCTGCTAATAGGTAACTTTGGATACAACTGTTAAGGGCGGCGTTTTATTTGAGGGGGGAATTAAATTTATCATCATGTAAAGACTGAGAACTGTCTTATATTTTACACTTAATAAATTTTCTTGGGAGTAGTTAATTCTGTCGCTTGTTTTCGTCTAGTGCAAAGGATGATTATAATATCGACAAGGAGTCTTACCACAGTCTGACGATATCCTCTGATGGAAACATCTCACGATTCTTTCCGACTATTTACAAATCTTCTTGCAAACTGGATGTCACCAATTTTCCTTTTGATGATCAGGTAACCCACCAAATCAGTACTGAACAGGAGCTCTAAGAAATTTAGGGGGCAATTGGGGGCAATTGGGGGCAATTTAAGCAAGCCCGGCCGCCCGGTTAGCTCAGTTGGGAGAGCACCGGTCTGCTGAGCGGGAGGTAGCCAGGTTCACGCCCTTGCAGCACTAGCCTGTGCCAGGCTCTCAGATAGTATAGTGAGGACGTATTAAACGAGCAAAGCAAAAATAAGACGCGCGCGACTTGGCAAAGGGGGCGGTAGCGGAGGGAAAAATGGGCCGTCTCTCCTCTTTTGTATGTATTTTGCGCGCCCTGGCCAGGACTCTAGATATCTGATATAGTAGACAGCTTGTTTATTATTCTTGTCTCGGTTTTCTTAATATATACAACTTTGGCCTGGCCTCAAAAGTGAACACGAAGAAGAAAAGACGAAGTAGCCAACAGACTTGAATGCCCTTTATAGCAAATCAGCTGAAACTAATGTCCTGTTTACCTCACACAACTGAACTAGACAAAGCACATCTGGGTAGTGGTCTCAATATTTTAGACTAACAAAGAATGTTATGTCAGAAATTTACTTTCTTATCGACATTTCTCTTAGCCTTGACCACCAGTACAGATCTCAAGGTCGACACGGTCAAGGTTAATAAATTTGCAATTTAAAAAAAACATGCCTATACTTAGTACCATCCCAAGAAAAGCTAGATTTAGTTTTATTTGGGATTGATTTGATGAAGTAAATCGGCAATCGACAATGTACCACAGTATTTTAAGATGTTAACCGCTTCATGAATACGTTGCTTAAAAGGAAAAGGGGGGGATCCAGGCTCCCGGCCACCTCTGCCTTTGGCCTTTTCCCTTACCTTTTCCCATTTTTTAAGAAAAAAGTCCTGGTGACGAGGGAGTTGTTTGGAACAAGGCGCGTTAAAAAGCGAAGGACGCGTTCCTTTACACATCGACTACGTGCTTTATGGTAGCCAATTTATTCTAATTCATCCACTGATTTGATCATCACAATCAGTTTTCACTCCCACACTGACGCCGCTCAACAGAGTTTAGAAACTAACCCCTATTATCATCCAGGCACTTCTTCTTTCATAGATCATAGGGATAACGGTTAGTATGAGGGGATGTGCGCGTCTGCAATTAATTTGCTCTCTTGTACTTTCTCAGGTCTGCACACTCAAATTGGGCTCCTGGGCCTACAATATCTATGAAATGGATCTCAATAGTAAGGGAAACGGCGACATCAGTTCATTTATACCGAACGGAGAATGGACTCTACAGAGCATGCCTTCCAGAAGACACGAGACCAAGTTTCGCTGCTGTCCTCATCCGTACGTGTTCCTCACATACGACATACACATCAAGAGAAGATCGCTTTATTATGTGTTGAACTGTTTCATGCCCTGTTTGATTATGATGGCATTGACAATCCTCTCTTTTTATTTGCCATCAGAGACAGGAGAGCGCATGGGTGTTGGTATAACCGTGCTGTTGTCGTTAAGTATCATACAGCTTATTTTGTCCGATTCACTTCCGCCCACGTCCGAAGTGCCGCTGATCGTAGTATACTACGGGCTCACTATGCTAAACATTTTTATGTCGCTAGTTTTCTCGTGTATTGTTCTTACGTTATTCCACCAGTCTCCATACCCATTACCTCACTGGGTCAGGCTTTTCGTATGCCACTGGGGCTCCAAACCCCTGCGATTGCACAATGAATGGAATCAAATTAAAGAGAAGAGAAAACAACTGGAAAGAAAATTAAAATCTGCTTCCAATACAATGGCATTTGAGTGTGCAGTCAACTGGATACCAGAAATGTCGCTGCCTTCCCACGGGCCCACTGCCACTTTGCTAAACAGCCACGAATCCCGTGACAAATTTAGTGACCATAAAAATGACTGTACACTGACGAAAAAATTACTGGAGGAGGAACTAGAGAACGCACTTCGAGAGGAATGGAAATTTGCCTCGCGCGTGATCAATAAATATTTCATGTGGATTATTATATCTGCGATCACAAGCAACGCTTTGTACGTCATTCTTATGGCGCCCAGTGGTAATCTTCTATGAATCAACTGGCCGTCTAAAAAAATGCAAGGGGAATGAAAAATAGTATGGTCATGTTACACAGCCAACGGTTTCGCTTGAGAATAACTCTCTAGTGAGGATTCAGCTTGTGTCACAGAGGCAAGCAAATCAAATTTAAAAGAAGACGTTCAAAAAAAGCAGAAATACTTTCTGTTCGTTACCGTAGATAATGAACAGGGCACTTAGTTTCGATTTTTCGTATTTCTAAATAAAAAAGAACTAAAAGAAATACGAACTTAAGCTTTCTCAACATATTTATGGAAAATTTATTAGATATAGGATAGAAGAGAATGGAAAAAGCAAAGTGCGAAGAACCTTTACACATAAACCCACAAGTACATATATGTAATTTATTTAATATATGGTAATTTTAATGTACCCCTACCCATAAACCAGCCCGTTGACCAGGCTTACGGGCTCACTTGCACCTTTGCGTGATCATGGACTATGTGTAATCGTAAGACAAACAACAAATTCGGGTGTTTTTCATTATTGGTTCGCTGGTGTGGTGTGGGTATTATGGTTCAGTGTCTTTTCAACTTTTGTATCACGTCATTTGGTGATTGCACCCGTCCATTCTCGTCCCCAGAGCCACTCGGCTTAATTTGTGAAACAAACGACGAGAATGGAACGAGAATGGCACCCGTCTGGCCGCAACACCAAGACACTAACACAAATTCTAAAGCTCAGAGCAGAAAAAAAAAGAATCATTTACATCTTTCTCTTGGGATACAGCTAAGTAACGTAAGTAATTCTCGCTGATGAAGTAAGAGCGTTTCAAACGAAACATTCGAATTGGTTATAATTTTTTGCTCTGAGGCTTGGAATCTTCGCCAGAGCAGAAGAACAATCTTTTCGGCCGTTTAGTGGTATTTTCGTTTTTAATTTCACTTTAAGAACTTTAATTTGCAATCATCTTTGCATGTAAAATCTGAATATTCCTTTTCTTCTTACTTGTATTATTTTTGCTAATGAGTTTTAAAATGTTTTGAATGGGTGATTTTTTATATTTTGCGGAAGTAGTTTTTTGGCGATTTCTCCAGTCTGGATTTTCTTACTGGAATTATTTTTTTCTCGATTCTAAAAAATTACGTTAAGAATTTTTTTGCGTTTTATTAGATCCAAACTGCAAAAAACCCTAAATATTTGAAAATAAAATACTATTGTCTTTCTACGTAATTTAATTTTGTCTCATTCTCAGCCCTCATGGCTATCATATAACTTGTTCCCAGATTCTCTCCCACCTTACTGCTACTTAATTTCGCGGCTCTTTAATTTCTTGTTTTTCGCGACTGTAAAAAAATTGCGAAAATAAATCCTCGCGAAATTTAATACCCATAAAGAAAATTCAAAAAACACTGTCATATTATAGCAACGATATGTATCAACAAACACAAATTGCGTTCTCGTTTTACTGGTAAGCTCCATTTTGTGTCTTCCGTTGTGTAATGACGTTAGTTTGCAAAGATTGCACACGTATTGCTTGTTCCAATTCATCTAATTTTCTTTAAGGTTCAGACTTTTAAAAAAGAAGAAATGAAGTTGAAAACCCTTAAATCGCGAAATTTAATGCCCTTTTTATGTTTACTTGTTAAAATCGCCAAAATAAAACCCCGCGAAATTAAGTACCAAGAAGGTACTCGTTCTCCCGGAGCGAGAGAAACCTGGGATTGAGGTTGGTCTTGCGTTGACGACCACACCGACGACAATCAAACCTCGCCAAAAAAAATGAATTTGCGTCCTTTTAAACATCGGGTCTATTTTGACCAGATTAATTTGTCAAATGTAGACGATTTGGACGGTTGAATCCTAAAGGACTATATCCAGGTTAAAAAGAAATCAGAATTCGTCATCGTATGTTCACGTTTTCACGTCCTCCATTAAACGTCGAACTAGGACTTTTCACCCCGTAGTCATGCAATGAAAGTCAAAGGAATATACTAAAAAGTATGATGCACGCACGCAGCTGTTGTGTTGCTCATAAAAACCAATTGTTTTTTGACGTTGTCGTTGTCGTGCAAGAAAAGAATGCAGATCACCGGCCTGATTTATACATCCAACTCAATTTACATTTCTCGTGAAAGCCAAATAAATCGTAAAAATGTCATCAGACTTCTTTGTGTTATTATCGGCTTCTTATAATTTTTACAGATACGTGAATTGATGGGAGCATGCGCATTTACTGGTACTGATCCAACACCCTGACGTAATCGTTTTTTTCAAAACGGCATTTTCAAAAGTCTCAAAAAATTCGTTTTGGTGGCCGTTTTAACCGCACCTGAAACGTGTGGACAGTAGGCCAAATCGAAGAAAAAAATTTCCTTTTTCAAACAAAAAACGGTTAGGAGTGGACGCGGTGCCAATCGAAAGGGACTAGCCTCCGAGAGAGAGCAGATGCCTTTCATCATAAAGTCATTCAAAACGCGACTATGGAAAAATAGCGCTCTAGACATCACAAATGGTAAACGACCAAAGGGACTCAAGTATCTGAAAGATAAGTCACAAATCGCCTCAGGTTAGTCTGGATAGTATTTTAGAAACACATTGCGACTTACCAAGTATCTTGAGGATTTTGCTGAAGGTCCTTGAAACAGTAACGTGTGGGAAAGATTCCATTTCTCGAGATACTTTAATACAGTGAAAATACATAGGTTTTCACTATATTATACTCCCCACTGACTCGAACCACTGAAAGATTCTGGAAAGATTCCGATTAAAAAGAGAGATAACTAACCGTAAACTAATTGCAAAGAAAATAAACGATGGTAGGTAAAACGAAACGTGAGGAAAGGAAAACAAACTTTTATCTTTAAAGACAAGTGCTCTTGACCTGTAATTATAAATGAACGTATTCTGATCTTCCTCAGGAAATCTAGTGTTGTTTATTAAAGAATCGGCAGTAAAAGAAAAAACCAACAACCACAACAGCAGATTAAGCAAGTTTAGAACGTAAAATTTTAACAAGTTTTTGAGAAAAATGGATGTTGATCGTTGTTACGTTAGTTTTTCAATATACACTTTGGATACGATCTAGGTCGTTTTTTTTTTTTTTTGGGGGGGGGGGGGGGGAAAGCCTTTCTTTTTTAATTTTATTTTTTCCGTTTTGTTTAAAATTTTTAACGGGTTTTAAAAAAAAAAAAAAACCCTTATTTTTAAAATTAAAAAAAATGGAACAAAAAACATTTTTTTTCGAACTTAACCTTTGACTTTGGCCAACACCCCACTCAACAACGCTATTTTAAAAGTTTTTTATTGTATTAGGTGAACTATATCGTTAAAGTAGTGAGTATATAAAAAGAAAGCGATAGAAAAAAAAAAAACAAAACAAAACACCAAACACAAATAAATATGAATAAAAAATAAATAATAAATGTTTTAATAATTTTTTTTTTATTTTATTTTTTTTTTTTTTTTTATTTGTTTTTGTTTAGATGAATGTTGTTTTTTTTTTTTTTTTGGGGGGGGGGGGGGGGGTAAGCACTTGCTTTATAATCTTAGATTTTCCGTGTTGATATAATACTGTCAACGGTCTTACAACACGAATACAAGCTCTAGTTTATAAAGTGACAAATACTGTGACAATATCCATCTGATGACGAACTTAACTCTGAACTTGGGCCACAGCTCTATCGAACAGCGTATTTTTAACAGCTTCTGGTAGTCATCGTCGGTAGTCCGCTTTAAAAACGTCAGCTTAGGTGACGAGCTGATATTGAATGCGTTTTCTGTTCAGTCGGACGTGATTCTCTGTACTTCCAGTCAGAGGTTAAAAAAACAGCGACCGATCAGCGTGAAATGTTGAATGACACAAAAACATTGCTTTTTATTCGAAGTTTTCCGCAACTAATAGTACTTTATATGAGCAATTAACATGTTTGCTGAGAAAACATTACATAAACTCAACGAGAACTCTTAAGGTTGAGTCGTTAGCATTCAACAATAAGCACCTTAACGCTCTTAGTTGGCAAGTAATGAAGCTTATGAGTGCTTTGACAACCGTATTAACATTCTGACTAGAATGAAAACTATTTCAGTGGAAATAACAGTAGCTTCGCCCCTAAGAGGTAATAAGCCACAAAAAATCAATTCAACTTTTGTAACAGCAACAGAAACAATCAATGCAAGAACAAATCTTCAAAACGGAGGTGGAAAAAGACTGAACAATTGCAGTGGAACGTGTTGCAAACAGCAGAGCTCACAAGGTTGTTTTTAAGTACCAAAGCAGGCCTGCTAAGAAAGTAGGCATCATCAATAGTGTCTCGCTAAAGAGATTATCCTTTAATATTATGTCTTGTTCGGGCTCAAAAAAGATGTTAACGTCCAGAAGAGCAAATATCCATCGATAGGGGAGTTTCATAGCGGAACACAACAGTTATTGGAGTTAAAGACCAGGGCGTTGGTTGCTACATTCTTGCAATTACAGGCGGCTTCGACGTTTGTACTAAATATGCACTTCTTTCCGTGTCGCGGGAGTTTAAGCCCTGCTCGTTTCCGTTCTCGCGCTCGTTTATTTTGGAACCAGGTAACCACTTGCTGTTTTCTCAAGCCTAAAAGCTTGGCGAGCCACGTCCCAGAAGATGGCGATAAATGTTGTTTGAACTTGAAATTATTTTCAAGAGTTTCACATTGAAATTCTGAAAATATTGTCCTTTTGTTTGCTCTTGAAGGAACAGCTAATCCCTCGCGAGGATTACCAGATTTAGCCGGCGATGATTTCCGGGAATTGAGTTCAGGCTCTTTATTGAAGAAGTCTTCTACGAACCTTTCCAGTTTAAGAAGAGGAGGACCACTTGGCTGTGTGCACGAGGAGTGTCTTCCCGTTAATTCGTCGAAAGGCGAGGAAGGTTTCCATCGTGAATTTCGTGAAGACACCACAGGATTAAAAGCACTAACTGAGTTGCTGTTCCTATTGATCGTATAGCGAGCCATCCCCCGCTCAGATCTTTTACTTTTGTGTAGCGTGCAGAAATGACTTATTATTTACTTAGACTCGTTTATTCAGGTGACTTCAAGTGTTATCGAGTCCATCGATTGAAGTTGCGCTCGGCTATCAGCTCTCTAGGGGAGAACACGCAATTCCAAGGCCAGCTGTAAAACAAAAAAACGCCTAAACAGTTCAAGCCTGTTCACCCGTGACAAGAAATGTGGTGAGAGAGATTTACAGATATCTGTTGACACTAATCTGTAATAAAAATAAGCCGCGATAATCCCCTTCAATGTATCTACTGATACATTTTTTGGCTATGTTTTTAAAATTTTTATATGCTTTTCAATAACGCGACGAACAAGGGAAGGATCGACTCCACACGTAGATTCATTTCGCACATTATGTATGTTTTCTCTATAACTATTTTTTGCCGGAACATTTTCTCCTCAGTATGTACAACCTCTAGCTATTTTTTGTCTTAAATAAAACTTGAATTTTAAGGCAAAACTAATGAGGAATGCGATAAGAAATGGAATCGTAAACATTTAAATATACTCGGAGTTGAAAAGCAGTAACCTCTGACTTGTCTCATCAGAGTGTCTAATACTGTCTATATGTTTTAGTTGCCTGGATAGTGTAATAGACTTGTACGTAGCCGTTCTTTGGAATTGGGTGGTCTGTAGCCGTTAATCCCCAACATGGGGCGTGGCCAGCTGCTTTTCTCACAAGAGAGGAAGGGTACAAGAATTCTTCTTATATAGGTAACCAAGTAATTCAGGATTACCGTCAAATCTCCAACTAGCGCTCCCTCAAGGTCAAAAACAGAAAATAAGCGCTCCCTACATAACAGCGCCCCTACCATACCCAAGAAAGAGAAAATCCCTGATGTAAAATGCCATAGAAGTAGAACGGAAAAAAATTTCAATACCAGAGCATAGAGCAACTAAGAGGAAACAGGACCTTGAGAGCGACTACACAGAGAATTGCGTTTATTCTCGGCTAACAGTTGTACATTCCAGTCAACCGTTACAGTTTGTGTGTGTGTTTTTAAAATGAAGACGACAATGGCATTTTAAGACCGAAATTAAAAATGAAAAACGAAATAAGCGCCCTCCCTCATTTGAATAAATGCTCCGCCACCTTCTCTACTCGGAGAATTGAATAAATGCACGGTGGAGCTGCAAAACTTAAGGTGGAAAGAGAGTGGAGTCGTTACCAAAACGATCGGAGAGCCTCAAAAATATCACCAAAAATTATACACTTAAGAAAAGCACCTGAAATGAACTCCGCGGCCTCAAAAACGAGCCAGCCTAGGTACATGCCTGTATTTAATGTGAAACCATCACTTCAAAGCTTTTATTTGCCCCATGGATGTACTGTCTCATAAAATTAAAATAAAATTGAGATTTGCTAATCAGTCTAGATGTCCACCTGTTGTTCAAAACACTTGCAACATTGCAACAGGTCAATACTTTTATAACAACTACCAAGGAAACTTTAAAGAAAAAAGTTCGGGTGTCACAAAAACTAAACTAGGACAACCTAAATCATTCACTAAGTCCAGGACTTGTCACTAATGTTACAGCCTTGCCTCTCAAGATCTCAGATCCACCAGCTTGCCTTACAACCTTAAGGAGATCACTTGTGTGAACAGAAGTAATACCTTATTGCAGAGTCCTTCTTTTCACAGTGGACGGTTATCTTTGAGTAATTTAGTTGAGTTTACCAACAGACATCGGTAGCGTTTTTTTAGTCTCTCTCTAGCTGTTTTTGCGTTTTTGTCTTTCCTACAGAAAGAGAGAAAGGTGGAAGAGAGGTGCAACAACCTTCATTCTTGAACATTATATCACTCTGCCTTCAAGGGCACAAACAAATGAAGCCTTCCATAACGTCAGCACATTTGTCATTGACTAATGTGGTACAAGAAAACACAGCGCACTGTAGCATCGCGCCATAAGGTCAGCTGATTATGTACATGTATCACATGTATGTATAACCACAATAATTATTACATAGTCTTTTAGGGTATTATTATTTTTAGCAACTGTGCATCTTAAATTTGTCTCTCAGCTGGTAAAATTCAGGTGAACTGTCTTCCTGGGGAAAAAAAAAGACAAAAACCTTGTTGTTACTGCTAGATGAAAACTGAGCAACCACTGAAGTTTTTTGAAGTGTGAAGTAACAAGCAGTCATGCATTAATATCCCCCACCCCTTCTTCTTTAAACTGACTAGGATTTTACTTTGTCAATGTAAATACAGTAACTAAAACAACAGTTTCCATAGACTGTTCACAGTCTGCTATTTTCCAGTAAGATTGTCAAGATCAAGTGCTTTGTGTTATGGGCAGCCATCTTGGATAAACCCTGATGTCCATCCCTAGGTACGTAAGTGAACCAAGCGCTCAATCCTGAAAATCTTACACAAAAAAAAAAACAAAAACAGAGAAATGTGAATAGTCTACAGTTTCAGTTTAAATACATGTATTACAAGGAGAAAGGTTTCTCATCTAATGATAATCAATCTTTACTTGTTGTTGTTGTTCTTTTTTTCTTTTTCTTTTTTTATCCTTGCTACGTGTGTAAACTTGTACAAACTAGTTTTTTTTTTCTTTTCTAGAATAACACATTCATACATTCATTACCTCCAGCAGCTGTACAATCCATTCAGCAGAAGTTGTTATGTAGAAGATAGTGTCATTAGATATTCCAGAGCCTTTTCTCTATCATTATCAGCAGCTTTTAAGCTTTCATGAATATTTTCCTCTTTAAAACCATATTCTTTAAAAGTTTTCACCAACTCAAGAAATTCCACTGCCTACAATAACGTAAGATAAAATAATTTTAAGATCAACATGTATTCTTCAGTATTACTATGTGTAAAGAAAAATTAGGTCAGCTTTTTTGCATGTTTTCTGCCAGAAAGACCCAAAACTGCTACAGTATAAGTGCATTACAGCTGACTTGACTGAAAAGTATAAGGAATTCATCTGTTACAAATTAACAATTAATGTAAAACATTACCTTAGCTTTTTCTGAGTTAAATACAAGAGCAACTTCCACAGAATCAGCTGGGTAGTTTTGTTCGCACAGTTCATTTACGGTAATTAGAAATTCAAACACCTGCAAGATAGTAGAAAATTCAGGCTGCTGTTTGATCAGTCAGTAGTGTGTTAAGTATTATATTTGTGTTGTATCAATAAACCAAAAACTTTTAAAACACTGTCTTGTACAGTCCCATTCAAGTGAACTAAAATAATTTCTAAGATTTGTTCTGAAGAATGAGATACAATAAATTATTACAAAAAATTATTATTATTTGAGTCTCATATGTACAGTCTAATATTTCAGTATCAGAAACCTTGAATCAAGACCACCGATGGTGACTGTTGAGACGCATTACAGTGTGAATGATTGTTGGCTGTGGATATTTCCTTTTTATTGTAATGTTTTGTTTAAACAATTAGTTCTTTCCAAAATAATACAAGTGAAAAAAAAAACCAGACACACAAATGATGGTTTAGTTGCTTAAATCAATCATTGTCTGTGAAGATACCTATAGTAATAACATTTTCTTTCTTGTCTTCTCTAGTGTGAGGTGGAGGGTATTTTACTGTCGACAGTACCACTTACAGTGGAACCTCAATTTAACGAAGGCCCAAGGGGCTGACAAAACTTGTTCGCTATAAAGAGGTTTTTGTTATACCGAGGTTCTTTTTCATATATTTTACTATTTTTGGGCTAAAGAAAATCGTTCGTTATAACGAGGACTTTGTTAGGATCGTTAAATCCAGCTTCCACTGTACCACACATCTCAATTCACATCCAGACTAGTTGCTAAAACTGTCTTATTGTACCTGACCATCTTTCCAGATGTTACTAAGATGGGGAACAAGCACAGGGAATGGGAAAATGAAAAATGGGAACAAAACCAACTGGAATCCCAGCCCAGCTGTCAGTAACTTCATTTCCAATACTCTGTTTTGTTCCCTGCATTCTTTTATTTTCCTGTTGCCTGTGCTCAATCCTCACTCCCTGTTTGCCTGCTTACCTCCTTATCATTAGTTCCAAGTCTCTGTACAGCTCTAGCCACCCGAGGAGCTGGGAAACCCATGCTAATAATACTCCTGGCATAAGATTGTTCTTCCTCTGTTAGGACAGGCCAGGGATCAGCCAGAGAGGATTGATAAGAGGTTTGCCTGCTAAGAGTTTCATCACATGGCTTTCCAATAGGTGGCAAAGGAGAAGGAAAGCGACCTCCGGGTATCTGAAAATGAAGGCAAAATACTCACACTTGTTACTTCCAACTTCATGTTGAAAACATCAGGGTTCAGGCAGATGTTAAGATGCAAAATTTAAGCCTTTTGTTTCTATGTTAATTAACCCTCTTTGCTGTGTTTGCACTAGCAGAATTCATAAGACCTAGAACCAAGTCACCCATAGAGAAGAGGAGAGGGGGGAGGGGGGATTGCAGACTGTCCTGTCTCTAGCAAGAGATTGAAAATAATGACCTCCATTATGCCTCAGCAAGCGTCATCATCTGAACCTTGACTGCAAATATTCTGGATCATTACCAATACTAGAAAGTTCAGCTACATTATCATAGACATGTGAGGTTATGAAAATATTGAATATTCCAGCTACCAGACACACAACCACACCAACCTGGACTTCGGGAGATCTTGGCATATTCCACTGTTGATCTATAGTAGTAGGTGCACCATATTGTTTGTATTGCATGTTGCTATTCCAGCTATTCATGCCTGGATACTGTCCTTGGCTGGGAGCAACACTACTTGGAAAGCTATTTATTCCTCCTGGTAGTGAACTACTAGTTGTACTACTATATACAGGCATTGGTAATGTTTGTTGTCCTTGCTGTTGTTGAGGAACTGGTGAAGGAAAACTCTGACCAATAGGTGGCAACAACCCTCCTCTCGAAAAAGGTCTGTTTGTATTGGATAATGAAGTATTTTGAAAAGTATTACTTGCAGGAACTGCAGCTGCAGGAGCTACACTAGTTGGTTGTGAATCTCCAATATCAACCAATATTGAACTTGCCTCTGTACCAACATTAGTCACAGGCATGCCTCTAGAATTAAGAGATGCTGTAGCCTCACTAGCGATATGAAGACCAGAAATATCAACTAATGAATTCCCTGAGGGAGACACGTTGTTTGTTGGAGATACATTGTTTGTAGTTGCCAAAGGAGAGGCCATCCTGGGTGCTGAATTTTCTGATGTTGTTGCTGGTAAAGCATTGGGTTGGAGGACATTCTTAAGTTCATCCATGTCATTTATTGTTTGTAATTCTACTAGCTCAAAAGGAGTTGAAGTATCACCTTCAAAGTCCGAAATATCAAATGCGTTCTTGCCTTTCCCACCAAAACTGTCTTTCTTCTTATGTCCTAATCCAGGAGCCACAACAGGTTGGAGGATTTCACTTCCAACATTAGAAAAAACTGACTTATGATTTGTGGCTGTATCTGTACTGTCCACAGATGCACTTGTAACTTGAGCTTCGGTGGAAGAAATTTCTGGCTGTTCCTGTTTTGAGGCCTTTAGTGCCTCAGACTTTGAAACAACATCTTCTTCAAGGCTGAAGTCATACTAAAAAAGACCACAAAGATAGTGTACAATATTGATTTCAAGTCAAGTCAGCTCCTGTAACCAGCAAACATACAGTGTAAATACTGTCAAACATTATAGATTGAGAATATCTTTGAGTGGGCTTACAAAACTAAAAATAAAAGAATTAAACCTTTCTCTATTCTAAAGTTTTATTGTTGTTATCTACAATCTGTCCACATTGTCAACTAGAGTCTAAAATTAAAGAAAGCTTTATTATCCATTTAAAAACATTTATGTCAACTTACCATTAAACTTAGTACACCTGAGGGATCTTTCTGTTGCCATCCAACAGGCAGAGTTACCTGAAAATAGTTTTACATTACGTATTATTATACAAATGCACATATTATATTGTACTAATGTTCAGGGCTGTCACGCAGGGCTGGGGGCCTAGGGATTTCCCCCAGCTACTACAAGGGTAACTCCTGGCTACTTTCATAAGAAACAAAAGGGAAAATGAATGAAAAAACAAAACATCCAAGCTGTTTAATTCCATACTAATTGCACAACCTGGTATCTTAAAATCTTAGCAACAGCCCTGAGTGTTCACTGCCACATCTTTCAGAGACAAAAATAAATAGCTAACTCAAGAGGCATCAACAAAACTTGGATTAAACCACACTGGATCAACCCCTGTTACTCTCTCAACAACAATATTAAGGGTTCACGGCTGGATCTGATCTGATCCTATCCAAGTTTTGTGAATGGCCCAAAATCAAAGGTAAACATGTAGTAAAGGCAGTAAAGGGGTGACCCCTAGCGCAATTTCAAAACCCCAGGTCGGAGCAGCTCCCATCCCAAAACTGAAACCTAAGCAACATGCTGGTGTAAGTCCTTCCTATTAAAAATTCCTGTCTATAACCCTGTAAATAACTGTGATACATTATTGATAATAGAAAGATACACCTGGGGATCGATTCAAGAAAGTTCTGTTAAAAACAAAGCCACCTATTGTACATGATAAATAAGCTTGAATTAAGAAGCTTAGATAGAGAAAAAATAATGGAAAGCAACCGATATAAGAGCAAGATCTTTTCATACTTTACCTTTTTCGGTGGTCTGAACTTTTCTCCGATTTTAATTTCTACCCCTTGTAGCGAATGAAACTCCGCATGATCTGTGAAATGGAACCAAATAAAACATCAAATCTTCGATTAACCGAGAACTTCAAATGTCATAAACCTCCTATCTTATATTACATTGTTGTAAGCTAATAGTTTTATTGGCCGCCCTGAAGCTATGCAAAAAAATATTTTGATAGCGAATGGAAGACGGTCAGCAAATTTGGTGCAATTTAGATTGACGACTGTCTGTACGTGAAACCATCAAATAGAGGAAATCTATCTTTTCGGGTAAATAGTGTGCAGAAGGAATAAGAAATGAGTTAAACTTACGGTTACCGCTCTTTCTAAATGTCTTTTGAAACGACGCCATTAAGCCAGCTTGTGATGAACCAAACAGTAACAGGCGAACTTAGACTAAAAGACTGTCGTCCGCCATATTGCACCTTTCCGGGAATGATGTCATTGTGCTTGCACGAGCCTGCGTTGTTCTTATTCTTCTGAACCTTATTATGAAATAGTTATTTTAAGCGTTTGTTCACGCAGATAAAAATGTCATTTCAATTTCATGATATTCCTCAAAACAAAAGAGCTAACTGAATAAAGCAAACTACATTTCCCTCTTCTTTCTCAGACCGCTTTCCTCTCCCCTCCCTGCATAGTCGCAAGGAATTTCCTATTTCATTTCCACCCTACCCTAAGGAGTCTGAAATTGCTCAGTTTTTTGTTGCCATAGCGAGTGATAGTCGCCATCTTGAAAATCGAGATGTCTTTGAAAGTAGTGCAATAATGTCAAAGACAGAGAGGCTTTATCAGCTAGAAAGACCTCCATTCACTTCTGTAAGTTTAATATATTGACTTTTTGTTGTGGTTTCAGCTTCTTGCACGGGCGAATTAAAATGCATGAGGGTTTGTACAACGAAAAGTAAAGTTTACTTATTTTCTGACATTAGTTTCTTGATTTCATTAACAGAGAGACTTTCATGCCAGATTTACACATCTTGCGGGTCCTTTAAGTCTCTTTGAACCAGAGGACAACACAGGTACATATTAGTGAGACTTGGAGCTTTGCATTGTAACTGAGTTACCCCTCATTACCCACAATATCTCTGATTAGTTGTTGATAAAGTGGCATTACAACTGTAACTTTAAAGAAAATTTATAGCATACATACATACTTTATTCAGGGTATTAACTTTATTTTGACTGATACGTGTTATAATTTTATGGCCTTAAATTATTCATTGAAGTTTTTCCTTATGAGGGACATATGAATAAAAGCCATGCTTTACATTACTAATGTTAAACATAAGCTTCTTTTAAGTCCTTCTAAAAAAATCACCTTGTCTCCAGGCAGAAGCCCTCTTAGGAGGGTTGTGCATGTCCTTTGTCTGAATTTGAAAACTTATTCTTTCTTTTGTTTGGAGAAGATCTCATATCCATCTTGCTATTTTAATGCTTTATTTGTGAGTGTCTTTGTCACTGTCCCATCTTTGTGTTTTTGTCATCATCTCTCAGGCTTATGTTGCTGTTTCAAGGCCATGTTCCTTATCAGTTTTTTACCCTGACAGAACTGCCACCTGGTTTAAGCCAGTTGGGAGAGTGCCGGACTCTGCTGAGCGGGAGGTTGCGGGTTCGAACACCGGCCAGACGAGCCCTTAGGGTCTTTAAATAACTGGGAAGAAAATACTGCCTTTGTAATGACATCTGTAGCCTGCGAAAACATCCGTTTCTCCTCGCTCTTCGTTGATGGGGACGTTTCGCGCAAAGGAACGTCTGCGACTCAGCGACAGAAATTCTGTCATTCATAAATAATAGCTAAAACAATGTAACTACTCCATCGACCAATCAGCGCTTCTGACCGGATTCCGGACAGATTTTACATCATCAGTAAACGCGAAGAATCTCTAACAAAACAGTCAATATTTGTGGAATATAGTCTTCTCTAGAAGAAGCATTTGAGTTTTGCTGGAGCTTGTTGGCAGATGAACACAACACTTTACCAAAATCGACCAGAAGACATGTAAAATTGGACAAATTTATATTTAAAACCCCATGACTGCTGGATTTGTTATGTAAACATTGGTTTGCGTAATGAGTATGGAATTTCTGCAGCTGAGTCGCAGACTTTCCTACTCATGAAACATCCCCGGCGGCAAAGAGCGAGGAGAAACAGATGTTTTCGCAGGCTATGACATCTGCAAACAGTTAGACTTTCTTCTCAGATAAGGACAAAGAACTGTAGGTCCTGTCTCACAGCAGTTACACTTATCTGTTCTTGTGGGACATAAAAGAATTAACCCACACCGCTGTTCAAAAAGAGTAGGGGACGTAGACCCTTGTGGTGTGGCCAACCTTCACACTTCATTCACGTCATGGGTTGGGTGGTTACAGTAAACTCATAAATGAGCTGATAGTTGCTGCCAGTGGTACTTTTGAATGCTGGCATCTGAGCTTACTGTTAACATGTTAATATATATTAGTGTAAAAAGGGCACGTCTGTTGTCCTCCCACCCATGACTCCTTCCATGACTCCTCAATCCTTACTCCTTGCTCGTTTGCACTCTCTCCCTGCAGAGGCTCCTGCAAGGTATTCCCATAAAAAATAGAAAAAAAGTGAAAATATTCTGCCACAAAATTTCTTTTTCCCTCTCCCCAAACTCCCTAAAACACAAAGAGCCAGGGCTCTATGAAGGAGAGAGTCATTTGCATGCATTCTTTAAGCCCACAGAGTGGTTTTTGTATGGATTTGCTGGCCCCATTTACAGGTTTAGGACAATGGACTCCTTACATGTCTTTTAGAGAACAGCCTCGTTAAGATAAAAAAAAAAGATTACTTAAATGGAACACTTTCATCACTAACTTAAAATAATACTGTCAACTTCAACAGATGTTGGCAATGAAAACCCTGAAGTTGAAAGACCACTCACTCCCATTGAGGTAATTTACATTCTACAACTGCATGTATAGCGAGGAGAATTCATAAATTAAAAGCAAAATTACTCCCCTTGTTATGCCAGTTCAGGATTTGATGTACCAATACATAGGCCTAGAGATGGTGTGAATCCCGGCTAGACCAGGAGGGCTGTGCAAGTACCTTGTCTCTAAGTTCAGGATTAAATAATTCAAAGGATATTATTAGCAGAAAATTAATCTTCACTTCACCAAGTCTTCACTTTCAGCCCGAACAAATTTACAGTATATTTATTCATTTTTTTCAGGATGCAGTTAAATGTCCTCCATCATCATTCAGTGCCCTTGCCAAGATTGTACGTCCAAGGTTATCACCAAAAGATGGAATACATGGACTGACATCTAATGACCAACAGCAACTGGTAGGCCCACAACCCGAATCCATATATAGTACACATTGTTGAGGAGAAAAGGTTCTATTTTTGAAAGTGAACTCTGTACCTTCCTTTTTGTTGATCAGGTACATGTATTCCCATAATGTACCTTAAGTTCTTTTTTTAGTTTAATAACCTTTTTTCACCAATCTTTTTATATGAAGAAAATGATAAATGATAAGGGACTTGTCAGAAATTAGCAGGGGGGGAGGGGGGGTGGAAACAGAGGGAGGGTTACAACTTTTTGAGACTGCAGAAAAGGGAGGGGTCATGAAAAATGGGCCTTTAAAAGGGGGAGGGTCATGCAAATATGTGTCCTTGATCATGTAGAGGTTCACCCACAGAAGAAAAAAGAAGTTCTTTATTTTGTACAAAAAACCTGGGAGAAATAGGAGAGTTGAGTGATCAGCTGTCAGAATCAGAGTCGGACTCTTAATGCTGTCATCTAAAATGTATGTATATGGCATTACAAAGAACAGATTAGAAATATATTTTGAGCTTTCATAATACTGACTCACCCTAGTGTATTGCAAGAACTAGATTTTATCATTTTTACAAGAGGGGGAGGGTCATAATATTTTAGNAACCGGGAAAATCCCCCCCCCCCCCCAGTCCACAAAAACTGTAGTATACTGTTTTGCCTTTTATTTTTTAATATAGGCAGGATCATTTAAGAGTCTAATCATACTTTGTTTTCCGTACAGATTGAAATTCTCATGAATGAGCTTAACAACATCTGGAGAGATGTTCAAAGAGGTCCTCCTGATCCATTCCTGGTAACTGATTTATAGCATTAAAAATACAACCTCTCCTTTTTTAATTTTACTGGGTTTATTGTTAAACATGTTGACAGGCATTGAGGGGCGTAAGGACCATACCTGTTTTTTTTTTTTTTAAAGGAATTTTATATCAATAGTTTTTCAGTGGATGAAAGTGCTTCAAATGTACCTATAGTTATTATACCCCATACTCAATTATTTTTCAACTTGTGCAATATTGGAAACTATGTAAAAAAAGTTACTCAATTCTTGATATTCAACTGATAGATGTTCATTTCGCTTCATTTTATTAGACAGGTCAGCAAAACAGAGAACTACAAAGGTACACGTACATGGTTCAGGTTTATAGTGTATGCGATGATTGAACACAAGATTAAAATCTACATACATGTATTAGTAGCAGTCTTTAAAAGCCGACAAATTGAAATAGTTTTTCATGAAGACAAGTGGTGGATAAATGCAAGCGCACTACTAGATCATTTAGATACCGTCTTTCCTCGAACAATAGCTGTCCCTTGATTATTCACCTCGCTCAAATAATCGCCCCCTTTGACAGAAATGTTTAAAATAATCGCCTCCTTATTGGCCTCCTGCTCCACCCCTCTCGGAGAAGGATAAGGCTGAAGTGGCATCTGATCCAGCAAAATTGATCAGTGGCGATTTAAGCTCTGATGCCGAGGATATTGGAATTAAAAAATATTTAATCAAGGGACCAAATTTGGAACACTTGAAAAGCCCATGTTCCATTTATTTGAGGTGATTATTTTTTATATAGTTTAATGGGATAATGACACAAAATATTTAGGGCACAACTTCCAGTGAGCATTATTTGAAATAATTGCCTCCCTCGAATATTCATCTTCCTTATAATAACCACCCCCTTTTGGTGGCAAAAAATAGTCGAGGAATACAGTATTTGGAAAAAAATGGGTAACTCATTTCTTTAAGCTACATAATATAATAGAAAAATTTGTATAGGGCTGGAGGAAATTAGCTCTTGGTATGCAGTCACGGTTCAGTGATTTTCCATACAAATGCTTGTTAATATTGATATTTAAAATCTCTCCCTTGTGCATTACTTGCCTTAAATTTTTTCTATGATTAAGATTTTGAGTTTCTCTGAATTCTCACTAATAAGAAGCCAACCCCTTTCTGAGAAAGGTTGACTTTGATTAAGGTGGAATCAAAGCTCTCTTTCACTATTAATTTTATATTTTTTTCAGACGTTTGACAATTGAGATTGTTGTAATCACTCAGGGACTTTTTGCAAAGTACTTGGACAAAGCTAACAGTAAGTTGTATATTGATACAAAAAGTAGCAATAGTACCCATCATTTCATCATAACAGCTCTAACTGCAGTCTGGTTAGATTTTAGCACCCTAAGTGGTAACAGAGCCACAAATTGCAAACCCTAAAAGGTACTACAGTGAGCACCCCTGTCATCCTTGTGGAATGTACTTCCTGGGCTGTGGACATAGTCCATGGACATAGTCCCTGTAATGTAAAAATTGTGTCTTATTGATTTTGTTTCTAGAACTGAACCAAAGAGGAGTGTTTAGTGGCCCTGCAAACCTGAGTCGCCTAAAAACTCAGCTGGCATTGGAAGCGAGTAAAACGTAAGCCACTGTGACATCCATTAACAAAACTGCATAATGTTTTGTTTTTTATTTGTATTTATTTACTACATTGCTCTAAGTGGAGGTGGATGCCCAGGATGTCCAGGGGCGTCCACTTTTGGCAAAGCCAGCCCCTAGACAGAGTTATGCCCCCATGGCTTTTAAACCCCCGCCCTCCAACCATGATTTCCCACTCCAATGGAACCAGGCACCTGTCACTCATTTATCAGTGGAAAAAAAGTGGGGGAGTGGGATGGGAGTAAAAGAATGATCCAAAGGCTAAACAAAGAGTGGCCCCTAGGAAAGGCTGTACTAAGCACATGGAGATGATGCAAGCAAGGTTGACCGCGCTTTAGCCACCACACTGAACGCTGACCAACGCCTGCGCTCCTAGTTGTTAACTGTGTTAAATTTCATTTAACTACATGTTAACTTGATACTTTTGTGCTTAATTGTATTTGCATTTAATTTTCAGTCTGAATGTACTGAGCATCAAACGTAATCTTGCTGCTGACATGAAACACCCTTTAGATACAAGCACGGTTTCCAGCAGGTTTTCTTTTAGCCGAGCTTTGCGTACTCCTCCCCCAAAGCACTACAGACCGCTTGTGGTAAGTACAGAATTGCCATTCAACTGAAACACGAGTTAAAGGTAATGATTTTCAAGTTTATTCAAGTTTTTCATTTTCATTCAAGTCATGTTCAGTCAAGTTTATAAACAACAGGCAATCATGGCGATAATACAAAATTGTACAAACAAAATATTTATCCTTAACTACTTCATGATTGATCCAACTTGTCTTATTTTTTTTTCATTTCTGAAGAATTTAGGACATGAATTGCCTTGAGGAGATTATCTGCCTTTTTCTTTGCATTCTCCCTAAAACTAGCCTGCGCGCAGACAAAATTAAACTCTGGTTAACTCCGTCTGTGAAACAGCGCCGAAATCCTTGTTCTGGACTTCCAGCTGTGTACCCAGATTTGAGTACGCGCCACGATTGGCCAGTTAAAAAAGGCCTTTGTTTTGTTTGTCGTGATCGCCAATCAGGTTGAAGGGAAATTCGAAACGCACTTCCGGTAATTCGTTGAGTCCGTTGGGGGTCCAGAACAAGGATCTCTGCGCTGCTTCGCAGACGGTACTAATCAGAGTTTAATTATCGTCTGCACGCAGGCTACCTAAAACTGGACAAAGAAATTGTTTACATTTTATGTCGTAGATGAGGCAGGATGAAGACAAGAAAAACAAAGTGCATCTTTCAAGAGAAGAGAAGCGACAACTATTGATTGATCGTGAGTTAAGTGATGTAAGTTTGATGTGTCCATGGTGATAAATGTATACTTGTACATGGAAAAAATATTCTTCGACTAGAGTTCGAGCACTGTTTATTTGTTTGTTTGTTTTTACTGTTTTTGCAGCTTCAGAAAAAAATGCCTCAGGTAGATTCCAGCTCTTACCATACTATTGTTGCACATCATCT